TATAAATATATTTTAAAGAATTTTTGTTGAAGAAAATATATAATTAATTGTTATTTGTTCAATATTAAATAATTTTTTATTAAAAATGAATAAAAAATAATTTTATTTCCTATACTTTATAACACAAAACTATTATATGCATAATTTATTTAATATTACATATTTTTATACAGATTTTTGTAAAAGTTGTGCAAAACGATTTGTAATTAAAAGTGAAACATCTATAAATCTATCAACGCAATTAGTTAAGCATGTTTCTGTTCGGCTATCCAATTTGACTCCTGGTTTATCAATACATTTATCCCAACAAATATCGTTGAATTCATGAATCTAAAATTACATTAATATTATTAAAATTTGCATTTATCAAATATTTTATTACGAAATCTAATGAATGTTACATATATGAATATTATATATGTAATACTAAATAATTAACCTCTTCGACGTTTTTTACAAACATGAACAAATTTCAAATCGCTTAAAAGTATTCATAAATACTTTTAGCTTTAAATTATTTTATAAAAACTATTACCTGAGCTTGAATTAATGCTTTCTGTTTTTCAGCTATAACAAATTCTTGTAATTCTCCACTTCCAATCTTATTATCTTCCATAATATCATCACTCATTTTTTGAATATCTTATTTCTCTTATTTTTACTAAATAATTTATTTAAAATTTCCAAAATTTTATATTTTACTTTATTTTCGGCACACACGTGGTTTAATAATTGATAATTACTAAAATTGTTTACCAATGATAATCTAGTATTTTATATATTTCATATATGTATATGAACTAGTTCTATAAGTTACAAAATGTTACTATATATAAGTTACTAAACTATATAAAAAATTTAATTATTATTTTATTATTATTTTATTTTATTTTATTATTTTTATAATTCATTATAAGAAAATATTAAGCACAAAAAAAATGTATTTTAATAATAATATAATTGTCCAATAGAATCAATTTAAAATTGTTTTTATATAACTTAAAAAAACTTAAAAAAAAGTTAAAAATTTATTATTTGAATAACTAAATATAATTTTTGTATAAAAGATATAAGTTATGCAAAAAGATAATATGAAGTATATTTTAATGACAAAAGAATATTTATAATATATTTTTATATATATATTACAATTTTTCTATAATATTTGTATTATATATTATTAATAAGGTTAAGTTACATCTTATTTCCACATTTATAATACATATATATATAATGTATATATATAATATATATATATATATATATAAATTTGTTTAAAAAAAAAATTATTTTTAAATTATGTTTTTATATTTAAAAAAATTACATAACAATTTTAATAAAATAAAAAATATTAAAAATATGACTTACGATGTTAAAGAGAATAAATTTTTTGAGAATATATTTGAAAATATATTTCTATTTAATAATTATATAAAAAATAATATATTAATTTTGTATTTACTAAAATCTTAATAATTTTTATTTAATAATGACTTTATTCGAAATATATTTATTCTTTAATTTATTTTTGGTAAAACAACCAAAAATATAAATTTTTCTATATTTTATTTGTTTTACAAATTTTCAAATTTAATTAGATATTTATCATAAATATCTATGGAATATGATTTCATAATAATTTATTGATATAATTTATTGCTATAATCGATGTAATTTTGTTATTTATTATAAAAGATAAATCTAACTTTTATAATTTTGATAATGAAAACAATAAATCTAAATGAACAATGATTTACATATAAACACGATTAATATCAAAAGATTTATTTAATAAAATTATTTTATAAAATCATAAATATAATAAAATTTTGTAATTAATAATATATATATCATAATTTAAAATTTTAATTTCGTCATGGTCATTAATATTTCATTAATCATTCTTTTGAATGACGCTATCTCATGATATCATATATTGTATTATAGCATATACATATATGCAAATATGTATCACGTGCAATTGATCACACCACTTGTGGATACGGCCCTGAATGCCGGTAAGATTGTTAGCCGGCGCGGAACGAAGCGGCGCTGCATTTCAGGAACTGTCGCCGAGGCGTCATTACTGTCGTGGTAGAATCGTTGTTTTGAAACAAATATCTTTTTGAGAAAAAAAAACCAAACAAAGTGAAACTATGTCTTCTAAATACGTTAGTATCATTTGAAATATTTCAACGTCACGGTGGTGTATGTGCGTGTATTAACTTCATTGTATAATCATTGACAATGACCGCGACCGTAGAGGACTACTACGACGGTTTCCGGACTTTTTCCTGGCTTGCTGATTTTATCGATGTACCAGTAGACCAGGTGAGAAATTTATCTCTTTTTCACTTTTTTTACATAGATATTATTTTTCTTATTTATCTTTCTACCGCCCAAAAGGAGGGCGCATCAATCGAAGTTTACATTATGTTCGATATATGTATGTCATTTTATTAAAAAATGATTGATATGCTACGCTTGATATCAAGATTATAAGATTTTTTCTCTTTTAAGTTTAAAAATTGTCAAAATTGCTTGAAATTAATGAATTATTACTAGTTATCTTTTATATAAACAAAGTGGTTTTGATAAAATATAAAAGAAAACAATATTGCAATTGCTGGTTCAATAATTCGAAGGATTCGAACTATCTCTTAATAAGTTCTTTACGTTACAATTCATATGATATAAATACAAGGGATTGATATAAATATCATCATTGAAATTTCTTTTGTAAAATTGATACGCAATATTATGAATTCATTAATATATTTGATTATATATAATTCTGATGTAGTAAATAGTTAGTTTTTATCTTTATTTATCTGTTCTATATAATTTATCAAGCTTTAATTATAAAATGAAAAGAAATTAATTTTTAGAATTTCAAACACGCGATATGTATATTACATATTTATTGTTAAAAGATATATAAGCTATATAAATAATGGTGTGACAGAGAAATTAAAAATAGTAACATACGTACGATTTGTGGAAGTATTTCGACGTTTAATTTAACTAGAATGTGAACATATGATTTTGATGTGTCTTTTGTGATGTTTTTTGTTTTTCTTGATAAAATCAGGATATTTATGTATATTTCAGATTGCAAATATCGATAATATTAAAAATCTTATGATATAATATCGTTATTATTAAAAGATAGAAAAATGTAACACATTTATTAAAGAAAGATAGACGAAGAATATGTATATTCTGTAAATAGAATGACCGGTGAATATATATATTCGAAGGTGGTTTGAGCATCAAATGCAACAGTTGGGAAAAGCCGACTGTAACAAATATTTATCATGAATTGATTATTAAAAAATAATATTATTCTTTTGATAAAAATAAGCAAAAAATAAAAGTAGAAATGTAAACGAAATTATAATAAAAACATAACGATTATTTATTATACATACAAATATTCATTTAAAAATATGATTGATTAATATTTATAAAATTATAATAAATTAAATTAAAAAAATAATAAGATAATAAAATAACCAATAAAATAGATATTATTAATAATATTAATTCATTCAAAATTTCAATAATATTTTGACGAATATATTATATCAAATTTAACAAGATTACATTTAAGAAATGTTGAATATTTTTTCAATACTGAATCATTTGTAATAATTTAAGATTTAATTATTCAATTAATTAATTATATTCAATTAGAAATATTTCGTAAAATACAAATAAATCTAAGATATATAAAGTAAAGTAAAGCGTGAGAAATTATTTTTTCATTATTTTAATAACTATTATGTGAAATATATTTTTTTATTTTGAATAATTAAAATATTATAACAAAAAATAATTTTTTTAAGACTAAGTTTCAAAGATGATAAAAATTAAAAAATATTAGATTTATGAACATTACTTAAATTTAATAAAAATAAATTGAATTATATAATTTTTGAGTATTAAATCGAGAATATCATATCATTTTTCACATTTTCATACTATAAAATATAAAATATAAAGAAATACTTGGTCTTTTCATTGATAAGGCTTATATTATATTTTTTTAAAATACAGGAATAAGACGATATTATACTGGCAATTCATAAACTATACAATTTAATCATTTTTATAAAATACAATTAATGTTTATAAGTTCAATATCTTTTCTTTTTGATTATTTTATCTCAAATTTATCTCAAATTTATTTTAATTTATTCTTAAAAAAATTTTTATATATAACATTATATATAATTATAACATTTTAATTATATTAATTATATAAAATAAAAAAATATTTCAAATAAAAGTTGTTAGATTTAATAATAGTTATAAAAATAATGAAAAATTATAAAAAAATTAAATATATAATTCCATTTAAAAAAATGGGAGATTACATCAATTTTTTACTTACATCAATCTCTATATTTTCATCACCATAATTTTTAAAATGTTGTTAGCTTTTTTGAACTATTTAAAGTATCTAAATTTCGATATCTATAATAATTTCGGAAAAAACATCTTATTATATATATATTCCAGGGATGTTAATCTAGCTATTTGCCTTATCTTTTTCCGGTTGAACAATAATAATTGTATATTCCTGAAAATTGCTGTGCAATATCAAGCAACAGGTGTAATTTCGCAACAATTTCGCTTGTCTCAAACACCATATTATTTATAATAGAATTCGTTTTTCCATTATCTTCAATTATAGTGTATATTAAAAATTAATTATATTATAATAAATGAATTTTTAATTATTATATGCAATATCGTGATGATATCGTTAATTAAATCCAAAATTATTCCGTAAATATAATTTTAAACAATAAAATTATTTAAAATTTTTTAAAATATTTTAATTTTTTTAAATTCATTCTTTCGATTAATATTACTTTCATAATATTCGCTTTTTATTTCAATAATTTATATTTTGTATTTTTATTAATTGTTATAACTGTTTTTCATATAAAATATAATTAATATATAATATAAGGAATGAATTTGTGAATTTTGTTTGTTTATTGATTTGTTTGCTCGCACTCCAATAAATTGAATTTACATAAATAATATTTATGTAGAAATGTCCTATAAAAGTGATTATATGTATGCAAATAAAATGATTCAATTTCATGCATAATAGAAAAAAAATTGAATGCACTATTGAAATTTGTAACCGTACAACCTATCGTAGTCTGTTGTTTAATTTTAGAGTTGCATGAGATACTTTAACGTCATCGATTGAAAGGAATGCAATTCGATGCAAGGAGATGTTTGAGTTTATTGTACACCCTGCTCGCAACTCTATCGTTCAATTGTATTCTCAATTAATTCGATTATCACCGATTACATTAATATTACTTATATACTAATATCACAATATTACTTTGTAATATTAACTATTAGTTATTAATCTTAAAGTAATGTGAATAATATCCACACTCATATATAGAATAAGAATTATTTTTAATGATAAAAGATTATTTTTATATGCAAAAATCACATGTCAGCCAAAATTAGTTATAGAAAAACAGGAAAGGAAAAAAAAAATAGAGAAAATTCGAAATAATACGCATTTATTTCTTATTCGACGTAATAACGATGTGATAATAATTGCATATGAATCATTCATATCGTTTGAGCACAATATGATTTTCTATTGCCTAGTTATCAACTTTACTGATTCATTTCCAATATAGCAAGGAAACAGTTAAGTTTAACTCTCGAAGGTGTCAAAATGTAATCGAGGAATGATTATATTATATATAAAACATGTATATTATATGGTTTGTAAATGATTCTCAGCAAAGAATATATCGAAGGTTAAAA